ATTTCATTTTTCAGCACGACCTGGCACCTGCTCACAGTGCCAAAACCACTGGTAAATGGTTTACTGACCATGGTATTACTGTGCTCAATTGGCCTGCCAACTCTCCTGACCTGAACCCCATAGAGAACCTGTGGGATTTTGTGAAGAGAAAGTTGAGAGACGTAAGACCCAACACTCTGGATGAGCTTAAGGCCGCTATCGAAGCATCCTGGGCCTCCATAACACCTCAGCAGTGCCACAGGCTGATTGCCTCCATGACACGCTGCATTGAAGCAGTCATTCATGCAAAAGGATTCCCGACCAAGTATTGAGTGCATAACTGAACATGATTATTTGAAGGTTGGCATTTTTTGTATTAAAAACACTTGTCTTTCATTGGTGGGATGAAATATGCTAATTTTTTGGGACAGGCATTTGGGGTTTTCATGAGCTGTACGCCATAATCATCAGTATTAAAACAATTAAAGACCTGAAATATTTCAGTTGGTATGCAATGAATCTGAAATACATGAAAGTTTCATTTTTATCATTACATTATGGAAAATAATGACCTTTATCACAATATGCTATTTTTTTGAGAAGGACCTGTATATCCACATTCGCTGCGCAATCCTCCATATTTAAAAAGTCCAACAGTCGATATATTGCAACAAGTTAGTTGATACAAAGTTAATTGTTCATCCACTTCAGCAACCAATGCATTGGGTTTACGCCCTTTATGTGTGCACACATTTAGATTTAGATGGCCATCATAATAATAGTAGCGCTACACATACCTAGTTCAGATGAATGCATTTCAAATCCAGCAATGAGAAGATCTGCGGCATCCAACGTTGATCTTGTCCGACATCACTCCAGGCTCCAGGTATGAGATACAGCCAGGTGAGCCGAGGCTAAGTAGCTGATACGCCTCTCCAAACACATAGGCTCCTCTGAATCTGAATCCTTCGTCGTAGCCAACATCATCAAAACTCGTATCCAAAGCTCCTTGTCGGGTGAATGGTCCTTTGTGTCATAAACAGTTTTTGACTTTATTTGTAGAGGTGAGACACTGGGGTAGTGTTGATGCGCTGATTGTTACCTTGTCAGCTGAATTAAAGTCAGAGCCGTCCTTGCTTGTTTGCAGGTAATCCATTTATTATTTACGTTTCATCTGTGTCCATTTAAAGACAATACATATTTCCACAACGCTTGCATCTGTTGACAGCATCTAGTTTCTTTTGTATTCAGCGGTCAAAAACTGTTTCCCCCTTTTGGGTGAAACACATGAATTCACAAAGAGAGGTTCCTACTATATAGACAGCTGATTACCCATGTGACCTGATACCCGTTCACAAATATATTAATTTATCAACTGCTCCTACAGTACCCATCCATCCATCCATCCATCCATTCATCTTCATCCACTTTTTCCTTTTTGATTCATGGGGGTCACTGGTGCTCGTGTCCCGAGCAGGGGGTACACCCTGGACAGGTCTCCAGTCCTTCACAGGGACACATAGAGACTGTAGTATGACATATGCAGGATATATTCATACATTTCACAAGTTCTTCATTTTTCTGACTGTGTAAATGTCGTGCATTGAATTTAACAGAAATGTAACGAGAGACGTTATTTATCTTTGACCCATCAAAATGAATGCGGTCATTTATTTGCAGAATCAAAGTTTAACATCAAACATTTACATTAATTTGGCAAAATATGAAACAATAACATGGCTAGTTTCACAGGAAGTGGGACAATACGGCGATTGTTCTCACTTCTCAGCAGAACAGCAGACATCAATCACACGGCGGTGATTGAGAACTTTGCTTCAGACATTTCTAAAATATCTGTAATGATTTTAGGAGAAAGGAGAGTTTGAAGATGGAAAATGGAGATTTATCTTACAGAGAGATGTGTGAGGGAATTTATCTGTATGACCAGAAACGTGCACGCTCCTTCAGATCTCAGCTTGGTCACGGTACGCTTGGTCGAAGTAGAACTTTTACCTGGTTGATGATAGGTCAGGTCGGCGTGAAGTCCTTCTTTTGACTCTTTCAGCGTCTCCGTTGAGAACAGCTAAAATACTTTTAGGAGTCGTGTGAGGTTATCCAAACAGAAGTTATAATTCCCAAAATCGTCTCTGCATCCTGGATTGCAAGAATTCTGAACTCCTTCAGAACTCTACTCGTCACATCTCATCCCTGAGAGAACTCTGAAGCTTCTCTATCAGAGAACTTTTTCATCTCCCTTCTCCATGAGCTGCATCCGAGCTGTATCAGAGCTGCATCCGAGCATCAGAGCGCGTTGAACTGGGAAGTTGCCACATTTAAATGGGTCGACTTCCGGTTCATTTGAGAGCTTTCTAATTGGTGGATGGACCAGAACAGAGGTGTGGTTTGTGATGTAAGATGTTATGAAAATTCAAGGATAGAGATTAAGTTTGTTTAAAACAGACAGAAAGATTATTGGAGAAAACCAGACTTCGTGGAGTCAAACTCTCCTGTATCTTCTGTAAAAGTTAAACATGACATTTCTTTTCAGTAAACTTTTAGTTGACCGAAACTCGAACTCTAACACACTTACAAATTTGCTCATTGAAGACAGAAAAATCAAGAAATGCCTATTACCCTGATTTCTTCTTTGATTGAGGAATAAAAATCATTACTTACTGTTTATGTAAATAAAAATGAGTAGTTCTCTTCAACCTGTAAACGTTGTTTGAACTAACACAATTTGATTATCAAAACATTTGTAAAATAGTAATGATCATAGAGAATTGTCTTTTCTACTTGATTAATTCAAGAAAGAAAGTCTCCGGATGGGTCAAACTGTATTTCTGGATGCAGATCAATGAAATGACAGTTTCTGTCCCACAAGGTTCTTAAGGTCAAGTGTTTTGACCTTAGGCTTAGTTTGACATCAGGTTAGGTTCACTACAAGACAAACGAGACAAACAACCATTCACACTCTCACCTAGGGATAATTTAGAGTTTTAGGGTCTAACATGCATGTTTTTGGTCTGTGGGAGGAAACCAGAGTACCCAGCGAAAACCCACGCATGCACGGAGAGAACATGCAAACTCCACCCAGAAAGGTCCCGGACCGGGATTTGAACCGTCAACCTTCTCGCTGAGAGGCACCAACTGCGCCACCATGCCACCCTTGATGTACCCAGGGTTTTGTTTAGAGATCTGGCTGAACAAACCGTTACAAAGAGTAATCCTACTCATTAAGTCAAACCAGAATTTTTGGAGTACTAGTTTTGCATTACACCAGTGTATTCTTGCACTTTTTGTTCATTTTAAACATTAAAAAATAAAAGACGTGCGTGTGTTTGTGTGTAACTTTACAGTGACATGAAGAATGCTGTCATAGGAAACAACAAGCAGAAGGCCAATTTAATTGTCCTTGGAGCTGTGTCGAGGTACAACTCACTACTCTTGATCACAATTTTTGATATTTTTATAGTTGATTAAAGTTCTCTGACATAAAAAGGTGTTTTTCAGAAGATGCTGTTGATATCCGTGTTGTTTTCTCAGACTCATAACAAGAACACATTGCATTTGATCACACGCACAATTGACCTTGCAATTTATAATCCCAGATTTTAGCCTTTTTTATTTAGAGATATGCTATATGTGATTATATTGAATATTATTAGCTATGAAGATAATATGCCAATATAGAGTTTAGCTACCATCTTGCTAATATAGATTTTTTTTTTTGCTACATTTAGCTTTGTACCATGGGTTTTTGTATTTAAACTGCTTTGAGCTATTTATTTGTTAATTTTAGCTTCTAGCTTCTGTTTAGCTCATTTTGCCTTCTGTTCTGCTTGTTGATGATTCAGTTACAATTAATTCCTCAACAAATTTCAGAAAAGTCATTTAGCACCTATCATTCACACGTTTAATTTCTCTACTCATAACCAGACAATGCTGTTTAAATTCTTATAGCTCAGCACTGTGTGTTAGATATACTGTTCTTTCTGTGCCAGATAACAAACGCAACAAAACTGAACCAAATCCAGATGTTCAGCAAACCAACGGTGCTTTCTGATGAGGGTTGTTGAGAGCAGTGAAAGCTTCTTTCAATCTTCTCTGGATGAGATTCACATTTAGACTCTGATGACTACGTATGCCCTCTGGTGCACATGTCAGCGCTTTGCAAATTTAATTATTTACATATCCATTGCTGGTTTGCATGTGAACCAAATTATGTGTCAACAAAACCACTCCTGGGTGCCTACCTTTATTTTATTTTGGAAAGTGTACATGTCAGATGTACGTGGTACATCTCACTCTTAAGACAAAATAAAAAACAGCACTGTTAGTTATAGAATATAATATATATGTAGATATTTTTAAAGTGAATAAAGATGGTGATTTTCTTCTTTTTACATCCAGGTTACTGTACCTGCTCCAGCAGAGCTCTTCAAGCCTGCAGCTGAGGACGGAGTGTGCTGTGGTGCTGGGCAGCCTCGCTATGGGCACAGAGAACAACATCAAGTCTTTGGTCGACTGTCACATCATCCCTACACTTCTTCAAGGTTACACCAGATACACATTATTATGCATAAAAACATTGAAGAGAACAAAACTTTAGGACATTTGTCTTTTCCAGGTCTTCTATGCACTGACCTGATTTTCATTGAAGCCTGTCTTCGATGCCTCCGAACCGTCTTCATCAGTCCAGTTACTCCTGTGCAGCTGCTGTATACAGTAGGTTTTCATATGCACTCGCCCTTTGTCTATTTGTGATGATGCACGTTGTGAGAAGAACTTTATTTATGTAACTTTATTATCATTTTACTTTCATAGTTTCATGCTCCAACTGTATATGCAATATTTACACAACTGTCCTCATCACATTCTTTGTATGATCGTTATATAATTGTTTAATTGCCTGTTGTGTTCAAAATGCTTGGTCTTGGTTCTGTTTCTCATGGACATTTTTTCCTATAAGAGATACTGTAGCTCAGAACTCAGAAACAACTACACAACGCCAGCACCGTTATTAGAGATGGATGTTTACTTTCAGTTAATGATGGAGAACTGATGATGACGGTGGTGCTCCACAGAACGCCACAGGAAGTCCTTCCTCCCTGTGGCTATCACACTTTTCAACTCCTCCCCTTTTCTACACACAGGACAATAAAATTAATCCTGCACCACAATAAACACTTTACTGTTTCTGTCTGCACCTGACCTGTTCTAGACCTTAATGTTGGTATTTTCATATTCTGTTATTTTTATATCTTGTGTGATTCCTTGTTTATGTTCCGTCTACTGAAACTCTCGCACAACAATTTCCCAATTTCACATCAGTAAAGTTCTGTCTTATCTTATGATGATGATGATGATGGACAATGTGGTATTTCTGTTTAGCTGCCTGGGTCCCCACACTATCTCCTCCCTGCACAAAACTGTGGTTTTATTATCTTTATAAGTTTTGCAAGAACAGTCGTAAAGATGGCATTATTTTTTATAGCCTCGACCAGCTGCTCCTCAGAGGAGAGGTTGAAGTGAAATGACAGATGATTTAATTCTCTCCCTTGTCTGCATAAACACGCTCACAAAGTTCTGACATATTGCACAATACAGGGCGGATAACCCTACAAGAAAAACATTTGTGCCAGAAGCATGTGTTTTTGCAAAACCTGTAGGATCCAAATTACAAAATTTGTTCCCACATCATTTACAAAGTATAAAATCAAGCTTTAGGGTTTCCCTCTCAAATCATCCTCGACTCCACAGAGTGCACAGCCAAGTTTCTACAGATGCAGTTATATTTTTGCTCAAAATATTATTTTTAAGTCTGGAAGTAATGGTTCTTTTAAACTGATCATATTTCCTACATAAAAAACTAGAAACTTTCAAACATGTCCAGTCAAGTCTTCTGCTGCTCACAGTTCAAGAATTTTTTAAGTCTGACTTATTTTTTGCACAGTGGCTGGTTTTTTTTAAGCTTATTCTTCAGTCTGCCTTTCTGTCTGTTTCTCATTACTTGGTAGCAGGGAGTGAGAGACACAAATATGTGGTTACTTTGGTGATCATAAAGTGCCACTGGCTTTAACAATTCTTTGTTCTTGTCCTTCTCTAATTATTCTAAAGTTTATACATCAACATGTGGGCATTTTCTGTTTTAGATTTTTAGAAAGTTATGTTGCGGGTTTGGGCAGAAACCGTTCTGACAGCCTTTAAAACTTTTTCACGAGTTTTGTAGTTCTGTTGGCGTAAAATATATCTTTATTTCATTTAAGGACCCCACTGTGATTCCTCATTTAATGTCTCTACTGAGACACTCCCAGAGAACCCAGGAGTACATCACACAGATCCTCTCCCACTGTTGTAAGGTATTTGTTGGTGGTTGGTTTCTCACAAATACAACGAAGTTGATCACACGTGGAGCTAGACCATGATATGTTCGTGTTCGTTGTCTGTAGACTCCAGAACATCAGACTGTTCTTTTCAACCAAGGTGCAATCCAGAACATCTCTCCCCTACTTATTTCACCATCTTATAAAGTAAGATGCCTCACTCAGAGGGGTTATATGATCTCATTTCTCTCAGTTTTTATAAACCCTATATGTCATCTTCTGTGTCTCATTTCCTCGTCAGGTCCGGATGCAGGCATTAAAGTGTTTCTCAGTCCTGGCTTATGAGAACACTCAGGTCTCCATGACACTGGTGAATGGTAAGTAAATATGTACTTGTTTTTTTATTCCATTTTCTTCTCTCCCAGTTTGAGCTCTTAATTTATCTTGTCAGTGCTGGTGGATGGTGAGCTGCTCACTCAGGTATTTGTTAAAATGATGCAAAGAGATCAACCTGTTGAAATGCAACTAACGGCAGCCAAATGGTGAGTGAAGTAATGAGTTTCTGGTTAGCCTAAAGACATATAAGTATATTTCTTGTTACCTTGTTTAATTTTTACCTGTGTTTCTATTCCAGTCTAACGTACATGTGTCGAGCGGGTGCCATCAGAACAGATGCCAGCTGCATAGTACTAAAGGTTAGGCTTGTCTCATGTTAAAGTACATTTCTTTTCATTATTGTGTGAATGGTGACAACAGTCACACTATTGTTTTCACTATTTCTTTTGGACATGTTTTTGCAGTGTAACTACTTCTGTATACTCCATGTTATATTTCCCATCTATATATTATATATCAAAATGTGTAGCTTTTTTGAGAGATGGGTTTTATGTCATTTGGTTTATGTAACTTTTATACTTTTCTAAATTTTTTACTTTATTTACTTGCATGTATTTTCCCAATAGAAACATTTTGAGATCTTAAAAATTCCTTACAAATATAAACTTTTTGGAGTCTGCATCGTGGTTTTTAACTCCATTTTAACTTTCTTATGCTACTTACCGCCTAATTTTTAGCTTCCGTTCCACTAGTTCTACTTTTAGCTAGCATTTTGCAACTTTTAGATAGCATTCTGCTAATTTCAGTTTATTTTGCTAGTCTTTTGATTATTTTGGCTTTTAGCAAAGGTAGGTTAGTGGACTGCTCTGTTAGTATTGCTGGTGCAGGCAATACTAACAGAGCAGGGGTCTTGTAGCGAAGCATTATGGTACAAATGCTAGGTCTGAGCTGAGAAATTACAATCTCTGCTCCCCGTCCAGAAGCAGCAGAGCTGTCTGCTGTGGTGGATGGGGTGTTGGTAGGCAGGGCGCTCGGTTCTGTTGACAGGGTGGGGCACCTTCTTCGAATAATGTTAGAGGAAAAACTGCTTTTGAAAAGTTTGTGACGACAAGTTTTAGTTACTCCTTTGCTACTTTTATCTTTTGCTATTTCTAGCTATCCTTTTACAACTAACTTTTAGCTAAGCTTTTGCAACCTATTTTTTTTTCATTCAACCTTTATATACAGGTTAGTCTCAATGAGTCATGAGGACTCATTCTCACTCCACCTAGTTAGCAATTTGCTAATTTTAGCTTTAAAAATTCTGTTTCAGTTTCTTCAATAAATCTCAACACACTTTAGTCATTCTCGGGTCATGTTTATAAATGAGAACAGGTTCTAAAACATTTCACCTGGTAAAATCAAGGTCAAATAAATAAAGTTTAGCACTCAGCATCCACACTGGTTTTCACAGAAAATGCAGTTTTTCTAGTTATTACTAAAACCATTACCTTCCCTCATGTACCATGACTTTGTGTTCTATCCAGACCCTGCCGTGCCTCGTCCGAATGTGCAATAAAGAGCATTTACTTGAGGAGAGGGTGGAGGGTGCAGAGACGCTGGCTTATCTGATGGAGCCTGACGTAGAGCTGCAGAGGATTGCAAGCACCACAGATCACCTGGTGTCTATGCTGGCCGACTATTTCAAGTATCCCAGTTCTGTGTCTGCCATCACGGACATCAAGAGGGTGGGTAACTTCGAATGAGTCTATGCTTTTTTTGTTTAGGTTATTTTAACAAAGGGGTGAAGAGAACAGGTCTTAACATGCAAAACCTGGATCCGTGTAGTGAGCAAGTCATTGCACTCATTGCAGGTTTGTGAAGTACCTATTATAAAAGCAAATGTTGACTGCTGTCTTTACTATATTGTAAATATACAGAAGATAAAGTTAGTTTTGATGTGTGGTTGAGCAGATAACTTAGGTCTTAATGGACACCAAAAACATTAAGATTGTGATAGCCCTACATGTGAGTGGATGGTATTAATGTGAATTAATTGGTTCCCTTTCAGTCGATTCACTCAGTACAACAAATTAAATATGGGATATCACGCTTGTGCGTTTCCTGGCTGAAGACGCCTCTAATCACACCTTTAGGCAAATGATGTGATTACGACAAGTGACAGGCCCCATCTGCACCATGTACCCATCCGTTATCACGGTCATTCCTCAGTTCTTACTCTCTTCACCTCACTAAGAACACAGCTTCGAGTCAGGCTAACAAGCTGCTGTTAGTTAGCTCTGTGGCTCAAAGGCTGTTCAGTTTAACTGCTTTTACTGGAGTTGGTCACTTCTGTCTACTGGTTAGCGTGCCTGCAAGCAAAGCGCTTGTTCTTAGTTTTCCTTTTCTCTGGCTTTTGTGGTTCAAGTTAAGCACGAAGCTGACGCAGTATTAGAACCTATGTGTTGGAAGAGCCTGCAGTCATAGCAGGACCCAGTACTCTGAGTTGGGAACCTTGTTTGATCCGAGTCCGACGAGGACAGTTTTTCAATCTGAGTTCTCACTTCCAGCTGGGAGAGCCACATGGAGTATCTGAAGGGGTTAGTCAAAAATGAAGAGGAAGCTGCTCGGTCTCAGTTTTGGCTGAACCTCCCATCGGGGAGACGAGGACATGTGTGACAATGGCCTTGACATTCGTTGTCTGTTGGAGAATGACAATGATGGTCAGAGTGCTGCCGCCACAGCTGCGCCTGTGGGCCAGTACAAAACCTCTTTGTTTTCCTCTCTGTACCAGCATGTAGCTGAAAAACATAGACGTGGAGTGGCCCTCTTACCCGCCTACACTGCAGAATTTGACATGGTCAAAAACCTGTCCATGTTTCCAGACTTTATCCCAGAACTGACATCCTTCTGGAACTAACCACTGTCTACCAGCTACTTATGGACAGTGTTTGGATCTGGAAGATGCTGGAAAAAGTTCAGCTGATGGGTATGGAACCATCCTTGGAAGCGTATTTGGCCCCATCTTATAACCATATGCCCCATTATGCCCCATTTGCACTGCCCCTAATAAGCCCCAATTCTGGACAGCCCGCCACAGAAATAACCCTTTTGCACCAGTACTTTAGCTAGTATTTTTAGCTGATTTGAGGCTGATTCAGGACCTCTTTTTGTCCCTGCTTCTTTGGTGGGACCGAGCGAGCTCAGTCGAGCTGAGTCCGGACCGAAATGTGAATGCAGGACTCTGATTGGTCAGGGGGAGGAGTCACTGGATCTCAGAAACTTTTCACCGATCTGCCATTTGCAATTTCTCTGGATGCGGAGCAGCGACTGGATCTATTTTTAAGATTTTAAAAAACAATAATGACAACGCCATGTTTAATTCTGATGTCCAGGTGTTTTTTTGTGTTTGGTGACCAACAACAAAATTTGAGCGAGTGGTGTCACCGCATAGGATCATACGAGCTGCCGACCTGTTGAAGTCCACGAAGCCGGACCCCGAGCCCCAGCCTTGCCTGCTCACAAAGGCCGGAGTCAAGCCCTGGCAGGAGGAGGCCCGGGACGAAGGGTGGAAACGTTTTTTAAAAACATTTTATGTATAAAAAATAAGTTGGTTTTTTTTAATCAGTGAAGAATACAAATAAATAAACGGTGCCGACTTTATCGTGAAATCCTGTTTTCCCTTGGACTTTATTAAATCTGTTAATTAAAGTTAATTCAACAGAAAAATGATAAAAAATACAAATTATTGGATCTCTCGGGAATATTTCCCTCGAACATGTTTAAAGAAGAGACACAGCCTTTGGTTCAACATTATTCTAACCCACAGATGTACAAATCATAAAACAAGCATTACACTTTAAATTAAAGCTTTAAATCAAAGCTAAACTTTAATTCAAAGCTAAAAATAATCTGTATACAAGAAAAAATAATCCGTATACAAGAAACAAAACCATAATGAGTGCAAATACATCAAATGATGAAGAAAAATATAGAATTTTAAATATAGATATCCTGATGCATGCACAATAATCCAGGTAGAAAAATCTAAAAAAGTTAAGTCTGGTCCTCTGGACATTCAAAAAACAAAACAAAAAATGTAGAAACGTTTCTTCTTTCATCCAAAAGACTTCTTCAGTCTGAGGAGCTGTATTCAGCACAGTCTTTTATAAATGGCTATTTATGAGCTGAATACAGCACCTCAGATTGAAGAAGTCTTTCGGATGAAAGAAGAAATGTTTCTACATTTTTTTTGTTTTGTTTTTTGAATGTCCAGAGGACCAGACTTAACTTGCATCCATCCATCCATTATCTTCCGCTTGTTCCTAAGTCGGGTTTCGGGGGCAGCAGCTTGAGCAGAGAGGCCCAGACATCTCTTTCCACAGCCACCTCTTCCAGCTCTTCTGGGAGGATTCCAAGGTGTTCCCAGGCTAACCGAGAAACATAGTCTCTCCAGCTTGTCCTGGGTCTTCCCCGGGGTCGCCTCCCAGTTGGACATGCCTGAAGCACCTCCCTAGGGAGGTGCTTTGTAGAATCTGGTTCATCAGATTTAATTCAATTCAGTTCATTTATATAGCGCCAAGTCACAACAGAAGTTGTCCGAGGGCACTGAACAGAAACATTCATATATAAAAATAATAATTTAATATTATTTATCTGAGGAGCAGACTGCTTTGAGTAACTCTTTTTTTTTTTTTTTTTTTTTTTTTTTTTTCATTTACCCTTAATTTATACAGGTAGTCTCATTGAGCCACGAGAACTCATTTTCAAGAGAGACCTGTTTAGGGAGCAGATGGTGGGGGTTAAGGGCCTTGCTCAGGGGCCCAGAGTGGGGCGAATGAGGGTGGAGGCAGGTGTGGGTGTTTCACCTTTTCCACCCACATTTTTTGATGTTGACGGTACTGGGAGGTGAACCTACGACTTTCTGATCGCAAGCCCATCTTCTAACCTCTGCGCCACCACTCCCCCATACCACCACTCCCCCATAGTGGGGGAACTCATAACTCATTGCAGAACTCTCATTAGCAGGACTTAGATTTTGACACGACTCCAGAATCGGTCCTAAAGTGCAGGTGCAAATCCAGGCTGAGCTGAGCCAGGCTGAGTAGGAGTGTGCAGGGCTGAGCAGAGTTGGGGCTGATTAGGGGCAGTGCAAATGGAGCAATAGTGTGAGCAGCCCCACAACACTTCCATCCAAGTACTGTACTGGTATATCCTTCTGCTCAGTTAGAAAAAGTCTACAGAGGTCATATGACCACTGTTTGTGCTCTGAGCTCCATCACCATTCTTCTGACGTACCAGGCCATGTGCTGGTGGAGCTCTGAGCTCAGGTGCTGCCCGGGAGTTTTCTGCTATGTCTCTTAAATTGGTCAGATTAAAATCACTGCAGGCTACATCCTCCTTGTGTCCAACTCTGCTGCTCTCTCCGTGGGCTGCGGAAAGACATCAGTGGTGGTGGAGAAGAGATATCTGTGGTGGTCGCTCTCCATCATCTTGGAGAGGGATTGGGCCATTTACCTGGATGACTCTGTGACTGCTGGTGGGCTAATTGGACAGTTTCTCAATGTCATTCAGGCAAAATTTAAGCTGCGAACAAACCATACAGAAGCTCTGCACTGTATCATTCCCAGGCGCAACACAAAACCAACAAGCGTGCAAACCGGCTGTGCAACTGCCTCCACCAAAAAGAGTGGCGCTGTCTTGGGGCCTGAGCTCCCAGCCAGTACAGCCTCTGAACCACGGCCAAGCCCCGTGCCGGTCAGCCTGGAACAAGTACCCCCCTTTGAATGTTTAAAAAAATCTCAACATCTGGGAAGACATGGCTCAACACAGGAGAGCCAGCTCCACAGGACAAGACTCAGCTGTTCACCTCCACCTCACAGATAAGGGACACTCTTTTGAGGACCAAAATGTGCACATTTTGGACCGAGAACACAGATGGTTTGAGAGGGGGGTGAAGGAGGCAATTTATGTAAAAAGAGAAAAGCCGTCTCTTAACAGAGGAGGAGGCCTCAGATTTCCACTTTCAAAAACCTATAATGCAACTTTAAAACAGATTCCCAGCCGGTTTTTCACACCTGATGAGAACAGAGGGGCCTCGTCTGTGAATTAGAGGAACAAAAGACTCTTCCTGTTAATGTTGTTTAGGTGTGAATTGCCAATCTACATATGTGTGTGTGTCTGTCTTATCTCACTCAGCCTTATAACCTGAATCTCTCACTCTCTGCTCTTTGAATTGAGAAAGCTCCTCGGATGAGGAGCGAAACGTCTTCTGTTACAAATAAAGTCCAGTTGTTTTTGTATTGAACACTTTTTGAATTCATCATGTCCTGGATGACTGAGAATCTTCACCAGCATCTGGGAAGACACAATTCTAGCTCTGGGACTGACTACACAGGGACTTCAGGGGCAGGAAGACATGATCGCCCATCGTCAGCTACTGCCCAAAAGGCAGCTTGTTTGTTGTGTTCTGGGTAGTATGCTCAAGAGGCATTGAATTTCCCTTGCACAGTCTCCCAAGCCAAATCCCCCCCTCACACACACACTCACTCTGTTCGCACTAAAAGCCCCCAGTTTGTGTGAGTTAATTGTATCTCAAAGCACAGCAATTAGTCAGAATGTTTATTTAGATGTTGTAAATGTTTCAATAAAGATTGTATTTTTTGTGCACAAAACTGAAAAGACTGTGGGCGACAATCAAATTCTTTTGTACCTCTTTGTACGACAGAGGACACCACCTCCTGGCCAA